CCGCCCCCCGCCCCGGGCGCGCGCTCCCGGGCCCCCCGCCCGCTCGCGGGCTCTGTCTGTGGGGGGCGAGGCCGGAAGGGGGACCCCGGGGCGCGGATTCGGCCGGGCGGGGGCTCAAAAACGGGGCGGGGGGCCGTGGCGACGCGGGCGCGGGTCCCCCTCCCCCGGCCCGTCCGCTCTGTATGTCTTTCGCTCTCCCCCCACCTCTCTCTCCTCTCTCTCTTTTTCCGCGAGGCCTACACGACGCCAGGGGTTTGGGTGCGTGTTGGGAAGGGGGAGGGGGAGGCCCACGGGGCTCCGGAGACTGCGACAAAAAGAGGGTTTCGGGGACAGGAAATAGGGTGGCGGGCAGAGGGAGGGGGACCCGCCTCCGTGGGGTGAGAGATTTGTTGGGAGAAGGAAAGGGGGGAAGAAAGGGGCGAGGAGAGGAGGGGGTGACGCTGGGGGGCGCCGTGGTGGCGGAGGGGGCCTCGCCAAAGGGAGGCTTTGGCGGGGAGAAGTGGCCGAGGAGATTGGGGGGGCTGGTGACATCAGCCCCTCGGAAAGGATCGGAGCGGTAAAGGTGGTGCAGTGAGGGGGAGGGGGCGCAAGGGAGTCGTGGCGCCGGAGTTGGGGGGGGAGCGAGGGGAGGAGGGAGGGCGGTTGCCGCTGGGCGCGACTTGGTGCGTTTCGGGCAGGACCGACTGTGTGTGCGCGGAGCAGACGTGTCCCGGACCAGGCCGGGCGGTGAAAGGAGGAGAAGGAGAGTCAAATAAAATAAGACCACCCCCCACCACCAAAAAATGGATAGTTAGTACGAGAAGTGCCCAGTGAAGCCAAATGACACGTCATTTTACAGTATGACCTTTTTTTCCCCTTCCAGACTTGCAGGCTTTTTCAAAAGCAGAGCGGAGAATTATTGTAGCAGCCACCCCCCCACCACACACACACAGACACCAAGCAGCGCCCCCCCCAACACTATTTTAATAAACCATTAAAAAAACACATTTTCCTGCTGGCTGGCCACATTGAGAGTGCTTTGTGAAAAGAAAAAAACAAAGACATTCACAAATCAGATAAAACTGGAAAATGACATTTGTCTGTAAATGGCTTCTTGGTCTGGAAATGGCGTGGTTTCTTTCTTTTTTTTTTTTTGTCCTTTTCAAGGTGGGAGGGGGGATTGAGAGTGCTCTAAGCAGACTTTTCCTGCAGGTGGGAAGAGATTAAAAGACATTAATTAGTTGTTTATCAAGTCACATTTAGTTGTTTGCTTTTGGGTTTTTCTTCTCTTTTTTTGGATTGCGACTTTTCCTCTCTGGCAAAAAAAAAAAAA